TTCTATTGTATGATTCATATCTACCATATAATAGAAATTACATTGATGAATTCTAAAATAATTATCAAGAGAACATCATTAAAAAGAATTATAAATCAGAGATGCAATCCTGTATCTCCTTATTTGGCTGGATGCCTTATCAAACTCAATATGACTTATTTCAATTAGAAAAGAATCAGATTGCACTATTAAAAATTATTTGACAGTAACTTCATGATAATCAATTAACGAAGCAGTTTTAATAACTTGTGAATATCAACGTTCCAGTATTTGTAACTTGAGTTCCATTTCATTACAGCCAAATTAGCTCATGAATCCACATCCCTATTTGACATAATCATGAAACTAATTAAATAAATAGATAAGTGTTTATAGAACAGTACAAAGCTATGTCAATAATATAAATAATGCTGAAGAAGTGAAGAACACAGGACCCATGACCACCAATACATTTCTCAAGGCTGGTGAAGCTCAGAAGATTAATCTGAATTAGCTACAGTCATTCTGTTCTACAATATAACCCTCTTTCTTCTTAGGTTGAAATGTTTTGCTACTCATCCGAGAGCCTCTGTGGGATCACAGACCCTAAAGATTTCAGCTCTTCCACAGATAGAGATAAAACAGCTACAGATCCATTCCAGAGGGAGATAGCTTGGAATGTACTAACCCAATTCAACATCACCCCTTAGATTTTAGGGTCTATACTTGTCTCCACATATCTTAAAGATACAGAAATAGCACCACGCCCCATGACCTCCTAAAACCTTTTCTAAAATAGTGACTACATATATATCCTGTTAGAGTAATATTACTCAATCACATTGTTTCAGAAAAGTAACAGCATCTCTGACCAGTTTTACTGAAAGGGAAGTTTTGTCATTATTTGAAACATACTGTGTGTATGTGTGTTCGAAAGAGATTTATTACTAAACATTCAAAGGGAGTCCATATCTGCTGTTTGTTTCTTTAAACAAAGAGTAGATGTAAAGTGTGTTTCATTGAGAAGGTTGTGGTTCTGAAACAGACAGTTATGTATGCTCTAGACTATATATAAATTGAGTTTTTTAAAGGCTCTCCGGATGTGTGTGTTGGACCTTTGCTTCTTCCTTCTTCCTCTCCAAAGCAAATATCTTTGATTTCAAGGCCAGGGCATTTTATACCAAATAATTTTTATAATCTTAGATCTGCAAAGCTGGGAGAGACCAAAAGATCATCGAGTCCTACCCCTGCCAAGGAGGCACAGTGCGGAATTGAACTCCCAACCCTCTGACTTTGCAACAACATATATGCTGTAAACAAGGCTCATTGACATGTTGTGGAAAGAGGCACAAAACGGGACAGGATCTAAAAGGGGGCTTAGCTTCACCCCACACTTCTACTCTTAGAAGCAGAAATAACAGCCTATTTTGCATTAAGGCTCACCCCTTCAAACCTTCGCTCTCGGTTACATCCTATTGATTTTCCAGCCTGCACACTGAAGGTAATAACGGGGGCTCAAGAAAAGTGACACCATCTTAGGCTACCATGTCCAGAATCTCCCAGGCAGCACCCACAAGATTAGGGGCACCCCAACGCCATGTCCTCAGACTTTGCTATAAAGCATTGACGCTGCAGAAACATCCCCGTACAGAGAAGGGTTTTTAAAGGCTGCAGCTGTGAACTTAAAATGCTTTGGCTTCCAGCCACATCACGTGCCGGCAACCGGAACACAAGGCCGCCTGTCAGTCAAACGGACATCGCCGGCCTCCCCTGAAGAAGCCTGGCCTGTTTTTAGCCACTGGAAGAGCAACGAACATTTCTCTGGGGAGAGACAGACGGCCAGGCAGAAGGCCAGGCGGCCTTTTAAAATCGCATCCTTCTCTTTTATTCCCCCAGGACAGCCGCCGGGTGGCATGAAAGCAAACAGGCTTATTCCAATCAAGCAAAGTCCAACCTTTGAATCTTTTCATAAAGACCGATCCCTTAAAAAGAACACAAGCAAAAAGTATCCTCTGCACTATCTTTTTCTTCGTAGCTGAAGATGGCTTGCAAAGGGGGGTGGAACTTAGAAAAAGAGGACCCTCCGCGTTGATGCTGAGCTGTCCGATTTTATCCATTTGCATTTTTAAAACCGGTCACTACAACGGGTGACCTGCAGCTTTTGTGCTGGAATGATTTCAAACCCTTGGTCTCGATGATGTTGCAAAAGAACGCACACCAACATATTGAAAAGAAGCAATGAATGAATGGCAACAGTTCGAAGGCAGGGGTGCTTTTAAATCTGCTGGCATTTCCTCTTTGCTACAAAGCCGCCCTCCTCATTGGAGCAGAGTGTCCTTCTGGTTTCCGATTCCTGTGTTCGTGAACCGCTACCACTTTGCTTACGACCCATCTCTTCTTCTGAATAGGACTCTCGCCGCCACAGAAATAGATATAAGGGACCTGCCTTTGCACGCCTTGGGTCTAAAGAAGTGGATTTTGATCCACAGAAGCTCACACTGAAATAAGTGATTAAAGAGATGGGGTTTTCTGCTGCCTTTCCAGCCGTCCTTTATCCCTCCCCAATATTTATAGAAAAAAGATATTCATCAACCCCTTGATATGAAAGATCAGCCTCTTTGGCTCATCTTTAAAAGCCACATCCGTGACAACCACAGCAGACCGGTTTCTGTTGAAAGGAAACACGCAGGGAGTAGATTCAACCTCCTTTCCACCATGGAAATGTAGCTGGTTGCCTAAATAAAGAGATCTTAATTGTATTTCCTTAACAGTGTGAATGTTAACAGCATCCATTTCCCTATTTAAAAGCCCAGCAGTTGGTATGAAAAAAAAGCTGCCTTCTGTATCTAAACAGGAAGCAGGCACGTCTTTGGAAAGAGGAAATGTTGCTTGCTTTTCTCCCACCCATAAAAAAAGAACACAGATCCTAAAATGGGTCTCAATTTCTTCATTAAAAAAAAAGATTCATAATTTGAAGTCTTCATCTCAATTCAGGTAGAGAGTATATTGAGACAAACAAAACTTATACAGTAGTCTTTTTCTGAAAAGGATGAAGGTTAAGCGATGAAGCCACAGGCAAAAGGAAAAAAAAAAAAAAGCTTTCTACAACATTTGACCCCACCGAGCTTGAAAAGTTACTTTTTTTTTTTTTGACAACTCCAAAAACTCCAGAATCCAGGCCAACTCAAACAGGGAGGGCAGAGGTGTAACGGGAAAATATTTCCTGCACAGGGATATGGACGGAGCCAAACAAATGGGGAATTTATGTTCTCTCCATAATTATCTCGTTCTTAGAAACCTTGCACAGAGATTTAATCTCAAAACTGGCAACAGAGGTGATAAACTCGGTTATTTCTTCACTTTTAACATTCTTTCTTCTACAGGTTGCTCAAACATCACTTAAGCGTGAGAGGGCAAAAGGAGCACGCTGTGTACTTTTGAAAATTTCTACCACGATTTGGGAAAAAATTTAGACTTTCCAAGGGCCCCTGCGAAAGCAAGCCAGTTCGTTCCCTGATCACTTGTGCTTCTTTTTCGTCCACTTCCTTATAATGCGCAGATGTGTAAAGAGCCTAAAAGTTCGAGAACCGATACAAGAATAAGCACAATTCAGCAGACCAAACTCCCACTGTTTGTGTAGTACAGCGTGGCCTGGGGAATTCACAAAGTCTCACATCCAGCGAAAAACGCCACATGCCAACAGAACGCTAAGCTGCCTGCCTTTTTGGCACACCTCTAAAAGAACACTACGGCAGAAGCTGTTAACCTAAAGATGTCTATTTAGAAGTACAATGGGGCTTACTCCCAGGTGCATGGCTGGACAGCTCTCTGGCTACGGAGCCAGAGGTGGGGAGTTCGAATTCCCCCAACTGGGAGATGTGCCAACCTGGGTACCCTTGGGCAAGCTGCACAGCCCCACAGCTCCCCTACAGGAAGGAAAGGGTAAAGCACCTCTGAATATTCTCAACCTAGAAAACCCTTCAATGAGTTGCCATCAGTCAAAATTGATTTGATGGCAACGCCCTTATTGATGATTACTTCCAGGTAAATGAAATCAAATATTTTCCCAACCTGTCAGGCAGAAACAAACAAAAAAATAAAGAAGACGAAACCACTGGGGCACCTTAAAGACTGACTGCCATATTTTAATGCCAGCTTTCGTGGACAAATCCACTTCTTCCAAAACTGGGTGTCCCTCGGATCTGCTGGAGCAGCATCCCCACCCTGGAGAGGACAATGGTCGTGTTGCTGGGATACAGAACTGCAACCTAACTCTTCAGAGCGGCCAGGGCACCTCTGTTTATGGTCATCTGGAGGGAATTCAGACTCGCCATAGGCGACCAGACCGAACAGATGTTTCCAAAACAACTGTTGCAAAGCGATTAAGTTCCAAATGCCGAGGAAGTTATTTTCACCAGCAAATCACCCCAATTTGATCAATAAGACATATTGGTGGGCTTCCCTTTCAAAGATTCAGTCGGCACGATTTATCTTCTCCTGTTTGAGCAGCTCAGACGAACCTTTCAAACGAGGCTTTGTTAACAAAGAAGATGTTTGTTCTTTATTGCGACTTGTCCTCGTTAGCCTCTCTGTGTTTGGAGTCTACTTCACTGTTTGTTTGGCTTTATCGGAATGGCTTTATTCTTGCCACCAGCTGCCTCTCGGGTGGAAAAGCAGAGTGCCGATCTTTTAAAAATAAAACCCTATAAACACCACTGGGTGCGACGCCGGATGGGTGCAGGCAGGAGTCCAGACTTCATCAGAAATCGTTATGCAACATATAGACCACTTTGGGCAAAAAAAGAGTAAATAAATAAAGGAAAAGAAAGAAAAAAATAGGAAGCAATAAGAGGGCAGGAGTTCTAATTTGCGATGTAACAGGGATGAGCATGTGCGCTGCATTTCCGTGCAAAAGGCCGAGAACGCCTTACAAAAAACGTCCCCAGCAGGCAAAACAAAACCATGTATTCGGAGAAACGCAACAGAAATGCCAAAAATTTGCATCTATTCTTAGCTCATCTTTTATGAGGCGTGGGGGAGGCATGTGGCGAAGACAATCGGCCATCCCAAGGAGCCATAGGGGTCAAGAACCGCGTCCTCCCCCACACCCGGCCACCATTCACTCACCAGGCAGGAAAGCTTTAGAGGTGCTACGTTTAAAATTTTGTGTCTGCGGGGGGAGGCTATCATAGCTGGGCATCACCGCCCGGTCTTGGGAATTCGGAGAGCCAAATCTCCCCAAGGGACTTTTTCCTAGCCCCAGCGATTTCCACCCTCGACCCGCAAGACTCCCCGATGTCCCAATGCGCCCGCGGGCACATTCACACGTTCGCGGGATGCGCGCAGGCGAGAGAGAACTCTCGTGGGAAACTCCCCGGACTCCGCGCCGCTCGCTTCGTCCCACGCCTTGCTTACCTGCAACCCTGCGAGGTGGGCCAGTTGGTCCACGCAGGGATCCAGAGAAGGGGATCCCCCCCTCCGCAGCTATTAGGATCCGCGCCTCCCGTTGCTTCGCCCAAAAGTGTTGGGACGGAGGGGGGGGGAGAGAGAGAGGAAAGCACCCCCCCTCCCCCGTACTCCGATCCCGACCCCACCGAGCGCCATCCTCACGTTCCCGGGGGCCGCGAGCAAGGAAGGAGGGCCCGATCCACCACCACCCCCTCTACCCCAGGGGTTCTGCCTTCCAAGGGGCCGGAGGGCGAAGGCTGGCAAGGGGCGCGGGGGGGACGGGACGAGGCGCGCTGAGCTCACCATGGCGAAGCCGGAGAGGAGCGCCGAGGTGCGGCTGGAGGCTTTGAGCTTGGCCCGGCTCAGGTAGAGCTTCCGCCAGGACAGCGCCTGCATGGAGTGCTCGTTGAGGCTCATGAGGGCGCCCGGGAGCGGCGGGGCCCGATCCACCACCACCGCCGCTGCTGGAGAGTCCCCCGCGGCGCGCCCGGCGCC